TTTGCTAATTTTGGGTCGCTGATCACGAAAATCTTATTATTTCTTAAATTTGGCCAATATTTAAGAAATTTTTGGAATGCATTTTTAACTCCGCCTAGGCCAACATCAAAGAAGTCGCCTTATGCGCCGGATCAGTCCCGTCCTGGTGCGGTGTCTGTTTTTAAGCAAAAAACTCGATTGTGGGGTGGGACAGCCCTAGGCCTATCCCACGACAGGACTGTAATAGTGCGGTAGAGATTTAGATTCTTGCCTCGATTCTCGGAGTCTAGGCTAGGAACCAGGCTAAAAAAAGGAGACGGTAGGCGTCGACCCTCGGCGGACTCGAAGCTTAGAGTCTGGGAACAAGATCGATTCTTTGAGTCCTCATTTGGACTCGAAAGAATCGATCCCAGAGTCGATCTTGCCCTGGCCTAGTGATCTCGCATTATTTTTTTATTTTTTTCTGATTTCTCTGCACAGAACTTTTTGTATCTTAATTTTGTATGAAATTCTATATCGTGACTGTGTGCATGTCATGAGTGTATACAGTAATGATTGCTTTTATTTCTGTTACAGAGATGGGAGTTCAAACATCCACAGCCATTCCTCCGAACTCGCGAGTTTTTGTGGCAGGAAGGCCACACAGCATGGGCTGACAAGGCTTCAGCTGAAGAAGAGGTAGTATTTTGTCATGTAGCAGTGAAGCTTTTTTTTCCAGATCTCGCTGTGTCAGAGGATGAAATGTGCGCAATATTAATCCTTTTTCTCATTTCTATATAATATGACAAGTAATAGATACCACCAAACGTGCTCTGTCAGCCATCTGTTCAAGACAGTCACCTGTACAAACCACCACTTTCCACAATCCTTTTTGTGATTTTTGTATTTATAATGACACTGTCCTAGATGTTCATCTGTCTGAGAAAACTTCTTTTCTCTTTGACAATGGGTGACTGTCTGAGACTGTTGATTCTATTCTTTTTGAAAGATTTCTGTTATTGACTTATTGTGAGCAAAATAGATATAAAAGAGATTAACACTTTCAGAGGATGCAGATGTTTAGTGAGTTTGAATTATTATTTTTTTTGGTTATCATTTTTGTTATTAATCACGGCAATGTTCTATATTCAATCTGAATTATCGAACTTTGACAAAGGGATACCCTTTGCCACTTGAATATGTTTTTAAAAAAGTGCCGAAAGCCATTTAGAAAATAAGTACCGATAAGAATATAATGTTAACAAGTAAGCAAATGTCATCAATGTAAAGGCAAAAGGTACAAATTAATATAAGATAAAATAAATCTTTAGAATCCAGATCCTTCTTTACCCTTCTTGTCAGGTAGGCTTTGACCAGTTTGTAAGAAGTTGTAATGCCAGACCCTGCATGTCTGCAATCTTTGGCGGGAGTCATTTTTGTATTTCTGCTGGCAAGGAAAGTATTTTATGTATGAATCGGTATACAATTTTTCTTCAGGTGTATGCTATTCTGGAGGAGTATGCCAGAGTTTATGAGGAGCTTCTTGCTATACCCGTTGTACGTGGAAGGAAAACGGAGAAAGAAAAGTTTGCTGGAGGTGATTTCACCACAACAGTAGAGGCATACATTGCTGCCAGTGGAAGGGCGATTCAAGGTGCAACATCACATCATTTAGGTAAGGATTTTCCTTCTTTCCATTTTCTCGTAAGTATAAACTTGATATATTTTTTATTAAGTGCACTTTGATGATTGTTTTAATAGCTAATTAAAAGACTATTAGATATATGATTGAAGGCTTTACTGACTTTCAGGGCAGGGAAAGTTGATTTGTAAGTCTCTATTCTGGTTGTTAATGTTCTTGTTTTATTTTTTTGTTTAGAATAGGATTTGAAGAGGGTTGGTGTTTTCTTATATATATATATATATATATATATATATATAATAGTCTTATTACTGCGGTGGTGTTCCAATAAGTGTTTTGTGTCAACCATCTCAAAGTTGTCTACTTGTAAGTTACGGCAATACAAATTAACTTAAAGGTTTTAATGTTAAAGTTACCTGAAAGTAAATTAATTCCCTACTTTGCAATAAAAAGAACGTAAGTCAAATGGTTTCATTAAAAAATTTATCAACTGTGATGTAATCGCTTTTGCAGGCCAAAACTTCTCCAAGATGTTTGAGATTGTGTTTGAAGACCCAGAGACGCAGCAGAAGCAGTATGTTTACCAGAACAGTTGGGGTCTGACCACAAGGACCATCGGTGTGCTGGCCATGGTGCACGGAGACAACACTGGTTTGCTGCTGCCACCCCGTGTGGCCACTTTGCAGGTAAGCATACTTAACCCACTCAGCACCATAACGGCCGTAGCCGGCCGCTTCCGTTTCAAAAGCCTAGTACCAATACCTCTGTAGCCGGCCGCGCGCTAATAGCGTTTTTTCTAAGAAAGTGTACACGCTTGGTAACCATCGTATTTAACCCGCATTTCGATCAATCAGAAAATAGATAATCATTTTCTCCTTGAGAGCAGCAGGGATATAACTCTGGAAATTTTAGTTGGACTAAATTCAATGTAAACAAACTGCAGTTCACACGGGTCGCGCAAGCTAAGATCGAGCTTTCTTCGCAAGCCGCCAGCATCGCGTTCAGACTGATTTAGGCGAACTTTTGGATAATTTTAATGAAAATATCAGTGCTGGGGGAGAAAACCCACAGAAAGGTAGCAATTGAAGTGAAAGTGACATTGATGGCGATCTAATTGTGCCTTTGGGGGGTGATTCGGACAATGAGAATGAGGTCAATGAGCAGCATATGACTAGATCTAGATCTAGATCTAGATCTACAACTCGGCTGATTTTATCTTCAATTATGAAGTACAGTCAACACACACAATAAACAAGTAATTTTAAAATTAAAATGTATTCATTTGTGAAGAACTTGTTTCAAGATTTTTTTTGATCAATGGATTGGTTATTTTATAATGATTTTTTCAAAATACCCACTACATTACAAACATGGATTTATTCCCCTTTGCATGGTCCTGAGCCATCTTCCTACTGGAAATCCAATGGTACTGAGTGGGTTAAGTTGTTGTGTGTTGGAACTGGAGTTTTTGGGATGGGTAAATATTGCTGATAAAAGAATTTTTAAATGTCTTGTTCTGTGTTTTGGTATAATAATGATTTCAAGGTCTAGTGCATGGCATTTCTATGTGTTATGTTCAAAATTGGATCTGTTCCTTTTGAAATGCCTAAGTACTCTATATGTTAATAATGGAAGAGGTCCTGTTTTTAGATGGGAAAGGATTCCAGGACTTTTGGACCATTTTTAAACTCAGTATCACTTTACTCTAACAACTACCCCCACCCCCTTCCAGCTTTTTGACAGTGTATGAAAATATTACGGTCGTTACCTTTAAGGCGTAAGGTCAGTATTGTTTGCATTTTTCCCCCTCAGACCGTTATTGTCCCATGTGGTGTGACAGCTTCCATGTCAGAGGCAGATGCTAACCAGCTCTACGACAAGTGCTCAGAGGTGGCAAAGTCTCTCAAAGCAGCAGGGATTCGCTCAAAGGCAGATGTTCGAGACAACTACTCCCCGGGATGGAAATTCAATCATTGGGAATTGAAGGTATTAACGTTTGTTTGTGACACTGATGGATGGAATGAGAGGAAGAACTATATATTTATAGCAATTTGTGAAATGCAATACTCGAGTGAAACTCTGTATGAATTTTGGGAATACCAATGGGTATGAAGGGTTTGTTTTTTCCCCTCATTCGAATTACCATCATTGTAATACAACTCTTTATTTGAATTTTGCATAGGCTGACATAGGCCTACCGACTGAGCTCCCCTTGCACAAGTCGACATTTGAAGCATAAGGCTATATGGGTACCCACTATCACTTCAAAGCGCAGCGAATGTTTTTTATGCGCTGGGATAATTAGCAGCTAACTTAGCTCCCCTTGCACAATGAGACATTTGGGGCATAAGGCTATATGGGTACCCACCACCGCTTCGAATGCTTTTTTTTGTAGGCTGGAATAGACTATACTTATCTCTCCTTACACAGTCTCGGCACCCACCACCGCTTCGAATGCTTTTTTTTTGTAGGCTGGAATAGACTATACTTAAATCTCCTTACACAATCTCAGCGCGGCGTGCGTGGAAGGGCCAGGGGGCTGACAGTCGTGTTTTGATTTTTAACACTACTATGTAGTCTCAGTCTCACATTTCTTTCACTTATGTTTTTTTTTTGTCACTACTCTTTCTGCCTACCATTCTCATTTCATTGAAATATCTTCACCATTTCATCTGCACAGTTCTTTTCACCTTCATTAACCACAGGGTGTTCCAGTGAGGATTGAACTGGGACCACGTGATCTCAAGCAGAACCAAGTTGTGGCTGTGAGGAGAGACTCAGGGGAGAAGATCACCATCTCTCTGGACAACCTTGCAGATTCTCTAAAGAAGCTCATGGAAACCATGCAGGATTCTCTGTTCAGCAAGTTAGTGTTACTCTTCAGATTCTTTGTGTTGCTATAACAAATTAATTTTATGTATTTCATGAAGTAAAACAAAAACCAGTAACTACCCCTTCCTCCTACTTTTTTTTTTACCCAACTCGATAGCGAGGAGCCCTCCGTTACCTCTTTCATCATGCTTAAGTTTTCAGTTTACATTACATTCATCCTTGAACCTACAACATTTGTCTTTGACACCATAGGTTAAAACTTTTAAAAGACTAACCATGGCCAAATTATGAAGTTTAAAGCTACATTAATTTGTAAAAAATTGTTGGTTACTAAAACATACTGGTGGGTAGGCAGCCTTACACTTTACAAGCAAATTTGGTGCAGATGATTACTCATTTTTTAAATTCTCAAATGCAAGTCTACGCTGTGTTTGTGACTGACTCTCCATGCAGAAAAATGTATACATGATGATTAGTATGACATACTTGTAATGTCTTTGAGATTACCAGGAATAGCAAATTTTACCAACTTTTGTCCATGACAGACAAAAAGCCGAAAATTGGACATTTTCATAATGTACCATACATGGTATGTCTTAAGGCAACAATTGGGTTGAATTGATTAGTACGGTATGAGTAGCGTGAAAAACCGTCTAGTAATCAGCTACAACCTCCCTGGAACCTCACTCTGTGCAGCCAAGGCTGGGATTGAAAATAAGGTTTCCTTTTTTGTCTTTTTCCTAACATTCGTAGCTCTGCACGTTATTGATGACAAAAAATAGGTTATACATATTTTAGCAAGCCAACGCTTTCCATTTAAAATTCTTTTCAGTAGCACTCTGCTTAAGTGCACAAAAATTCTGTGGTCCTGTGGTGACTGATTAATAGGGTTTTGCTGCATTTGTTGTTTCATCCTTTACTTGACACGCTCATATGACCTTATGCAGTTGCGAGTGCCATATAACTCATAGCCTACTACTACTAAACTAACTTTCTCTTTCCTAACCATACAGATTATAGGGCTTTCAACTAAATATATGATTTTTATTGTCTCTCTCAGGGCAAAGAAGGAGCTTGATGAGCATTTGGCGGTGAGCCATGACTGGAATGACTTCTGTGATCAGCTGGATGCCAAGAAATTGATTCAAGCCCCATTCTGTGGAGAACCACCCTGTGAAGACAAGATCAAGAAAGACAGTGCCAGGTACGCATCTCATATTTGTGTCCTGGTTTGTTAGAGTGAAGATTTTTAACTCACTGAGCACCACACCCCGATTTGCCTCCAAGCCCCAGGGGACCACCCATTTCCCCCACTTTTTGAAAATTCATTTAAAAAATGAACTGAAATGCTATTTCTTTTAAATTTTCTGTGCTATTTAATAAGATATGGGTTCAACCTTGGAGGAACTATAATAGGAGAGGCCGCGAGTCGCGTAACGTGAAGCCGCTGCAGACGACGGTCGGCCATGTTTGTGAGATCAGCTCAGTTCTCTCAGTTGTAAACTTAGTGTCAACCGAATGGCAGTTTGCGTAGCGTTCGGGTCCGGTGGGCCTCTCATTCAAAGGTCCTGGGTTCGAATCCGAGTAGTGACGGAAAAATTTTGTTTTCTAAAATTCTACTTTCTCTTTCGTCTGCTTTCACCTCTACTTTCTGCCCCTACCTCCTCAGGGCTCCGGACTCTTTCTGCAGCCTTTCTACTGCTACTCCTTGGCTCCTTCTTACCTCTGTCTTTCAGCCACACCCCTGATCTTCTGGTAGGAAAGATCTACCCCTAGCCTTCTCGGACAAGGGCGAAAAAATCTCGGAGGTCGCGTATGCAAATTGCGCAAATTAAAGGTCCCTTGGTGGTCTAAAATCGATAAGAGTAGGCTTCGGTCGCCATCCAGGCAAAATTCAAAATTTCCTACCAAATGTTAAAAAAAATATCAGTCTCTAGCAATGGCACTGAACTTGATGACGAAGTGCCTTCTGATTTAGCCGTAAATGCATCTCACAGTAAAAACAGAATGAAAAAAGATTTAAGAAAATTCAGTTTGCCATGATGATAACTGCACGTATGTGCCTAGATCTACTCTAGCATACTTGTCAATTTGCTCTGCATGTTGCTTACATTGCTGGTTTTGTGTTGTTAAGGTTGACAAAGCGTTTGAAAATGTGAAACCTGCATCGGTGCCTTTGTTGACTCCAATGTGTCAAAAGTAAATTCCTTGCTGTTTTTTTAAGTCTCGTCGGAGGTTCGACAGTGCTTTCAGAGAATGTCATTGAAGTGTGTTTGGTGTGTGAATAACATTTTTGATGCCATGTGTCGTCTGTCTGTGCATGGGGTGTGACATTGTCAAGAGTGAAATGTCATAAATTAGTGCAATCTGTTTTGAAAATCTTCTTATTATAAGCCTATCATTTCAAATTCTCTATTAATTGTTCAATACCCTTAATAGTATTTTGTAAAATTTAGATAAAGTGTTTTGGTGTTTTAAAGGTGCCCCTCCCTCCTCGCTCGCTTTATTGGGGGAGGGGGGGGGGTTATTCTTGTTTTTGTGTATGTGTGGGGGGGGGGGGGGTAATTTCCACCATCATACTTCACTCTTATCTGCCTTGCCCTCTCCTTCCTCATTCTTCGCCCATCCCATCCCACCCTCACTACCATCTTTTGTGTAATCATTTTCAATTTTGTTAGAAATATATTCTGTTGTAAGTTTAAGTCAAGAAGACTACGTTTTTGTAAAAATAATGTCAGTGATGACATCATTTTGCACTGATGAAGTTCTATGACTGAAAAGTCTGCAAATTTTGTTATCCCGTTTATATTTTTGTTTTGATCCTTATTATCCCAATTTCTTCTCTAAAACAAGTTTTAAAAAATTATCTTACCGTCACAATGTGTATACATAGTACATGTATTACCAAATGTTCGACTGAGTGAGCTGGTAATTTGATGCAAGTAAGATTTCTTACTGTCCTTATTATATTGTTACTATCAAGAAGTCTTCGTTTTTGTAAAAATAATGAAGTTCGACTTCCAAAAACTCAGCAAATGTTATCATCCCGTTTATAATTTTGTTTTGATCCTTATTATCCCAATTTTGTCTCTAAAACATGTAAAACAGAATATCTTACCATCACAATGTGTATACATAGTACACGTATTTCTGTAAATATTCGACTAAATGAGCTGGTAATTTGATGCAAGTAAGATTTGTTAACATCCTTATTACATTACAACTGTACGTGAGTGCTTATAATGCTGTAATTAACATTGACAAAGACATTTTGAGAGACAATGGAGTCCGAGCAGCTTGTTTTGAAATGAGATTACGCTGCGTACGCTGCATTGTTTTGAACTTACAAAGATGGCGGCAGGCCCGATAAGCTCCGCCCTTTCGGCTTCAACTTGGTTGGAACTGTTGAGCGGGCGACGCAATGTTAGGGCCTCTCCCTATATAGTTACTCCAAGGGTTCAACAGATACAATTTTGACAAAGCAGAAATCTAAGAAACTTACAGAAAATGGTTGTGGCAGTGTGTGTTTGTGTGTAGGAGAATGAAGCATGAGTGTGTACCGTGAAGTAGCATAAAAATGTAAGTGATGATTAATTTTGAAAAAGAAAAGAAATATAAATCTAGATTCTCTAGATCTAGATCTTCCTCGGTGACAGGCTGAGAAATGTTTTCATTGTAAGTGCTGCTAGTGCTGAGACTAGATCTGTCAATATATGTCCCAGGTCTGGGTACATTATATCTTCTCCACTTTGAGGGCTGATTTGAACTAGAGTTTAGTACTGGGGCTAGATCTATCATCATTCCCAGCCGGACCAGTCAGATTCACGATCAAGAGACGATGTTGGTCTAGATCTAGGTCTAATGTCATTTTTTCAGTCATCTTCATCACTGCAAGCCGAATTCACATATATTGATTTATGAAGTTATCTATCTGATACTTCACTGTCACTTAAATCTCATGAAAATTATCGAGAGTTTCAGTAAACTTCAACACTACTCGCCGTGCCATGCTTCGCGTACGAGAAACAATCAACGAACGGCGCGGAAGTTCCTTACTTTCAGTTGTTCGGTCCGTTGGACAAATAACCTGTTTATTCGCACTAAAAGTGGTGACTATACACAAACCACAAAGAACTAGCTTGTCGATATCCTGTTTAAACCACTGGGGCTATTTGCAAGCATTTTTAAACTGCTGGGTTAACTTAAGAGTTATAGTTGAACCCACGTACGCTTTGGTTGCGGTCCGCAACGCGAATTTTACAGAACCGCGTATGCTGCGGGAGCGGTGCTCAGTGTGTTAATGTGTAAATTTGATGATTTTTATTTCTAATTTAGGTTTTGCTTTATTTGCATGCTTTAGGTAGTACATGTCATGAGAGAAAAAGAAAAAAATGGGGGGGGGGGGGGAATAGTTTCTTGTTTTTCTTATTATAGTATAGTTTTGTTTCTTAAAAAGTTTAATTTTTTATTTTTGTCACTTTTAGTATTGAACCTGCACAGTGATTTTAGTGATAATTTTCTGCGGACTGCAATAAACAGCTTGCAACAAGAGATTTTATCTAGTAATTTTCTTTAAACAGAACTTAATGTCTGTTACATTTACTTGTACAAATATTATATAAGAACTTTTATTGTTTTCCAGAGATGCTGTTGTGGAGGAAGGAGCCCCAGCCATGGGAGCTAAAGGTCTGTGTATACCTTTCAAGCAGCCACAAGAGCTGAAGGCTAGCACCAAATGCATCATGCCTGGATGTTGCAAAGCACCCAAGTACTACACCATGTTTGGCCGCAGTTATTAATTTCTTTGTTACTTGCTCACTGTTACTGTTACTAAGTTCAGCATCTCATTATGGTTGAAAGTAACCAAGTGTCTTGTTTTTAACTTTTGCCCTTTAGTTTTGATTTGGTTGTGGAACATGGTTTTTTTTCTTTTTCTTTTCTGGTATCTGTTTTGTCTTGTTCTTACCCCACCAATTTACACAACGGTTGATTTGAAGACTTCATAAAATAAGCAATGATTTTTTAAGTCATGACGATAAAGATAATTGGGTTTGAAACAATTCTCCATTCAAGAGAAAGTTTATTCTTTTCGGCTCCATCTTTTTTTTTATCTGGTCTTCACTCCCTTTTTCTATTGCAATAGTAAGCTTAAGTTAATTTTTAGTGCTGAGCATGTATTTTGTAACATGCTGCTTTCCTTTGTTAGTGTTAGTTGTGTAGGCCTACATGGTCCATTTGTTATAAACAACATTGCTGCTCTCTGCATGTTAAAACCACACAGTTCGTGTTGTCATGAATTGAGGATAGTGCAAGCGAAAATGCTTGGTATCCTTTTCACTTTGTTACAGAAAGCGTAATAAAATGAAACTGTCATTGCTTGTTTTATTTAAAACCTTTGTTTTCTAGGATACATAAATGAATACTCTTTATCAATAAAAATGAATTGCACAAACTCAAGATTGATATTGGAAATTTCAGCTTGCATCTCTAGCACAAGCAGTTTTCAATGAGGGCTAAACAATAAATGAATTGTCTGGTTTCTGTTTTTGGGATCTCTGATGTTTACCTACATTTTGCTGCAGAAGGTTGAATGCAGGTTAGATGCTTTATGTTTGTTTTATTTGTTCGTGTACTTAAAATATTTCACTTTGACTTCTTTAAATTATGAATAGATAGCTCTTGATCACTCTTTGTTTCAAATAAACCATGTCAAACATCTAAAGATATGATTTGTTATCTTTTTAGTAGAAAAAGACCCTACTTCCCACTCATTTCTGAATTTATTTTTCACTACCACTCAAAGTGAGCAGCTGACACTGCTCCTCAATTGTTCCAAGTTCACGGGGAGTGACCAAGGAAATGTTTTAATTTCTTTGCTGAAGTGAATTTTGACCACTGAACAGGGTTATCATGTTGGTCATGGCATTTTTGTTATAGCAGGGGCCCACTGTATCAGATATGAAGACGGGGCAAGTCGGAGGGACTTGTATAGAGTGAAGGGAGATTCATTGCGCGTTTAATTAGTACAGTGCGACTACAGTTTCTCTGGTGGGAAAAATAATACCTGAAGCTAGGCAAGATGAGAAGGCTTAAGTTTACTGACTGCTATTTTAAAAAAATAATTTTTGGGTGAGTTTTCACAGAATGTTTTATACACTTCAAAATAATGTGCCCAAGGGTGCAAACTGGGGACAGGAGTCCAGGTCCTAAATGAGGTAAACTACAAGAGAGTTAGTAAACCAAGCTCTATTGTTTAGTCAAACCTGGTTATACCACCACCTTTGGGACGACCATGAAGTTGGCAGAACAGCAGGGCTGGCAGTTCAACTGATTTCCTCTGTTTAGCCCCAACTGCCCAACGTCAAGAAACATGATTCTGCCGTGTGATCTATGTTTAAAAAGTGTCTTTTTGTTGGTGATATACATCATGTACATGCATATTCAGAGCCGAGAATCTTCTCTCTCCCCCTAACTCTGTCTTTCCTGTGGGAAAAAGATTATCAAGTAACCACCCAGTGGGTGCTGTGCACTGTGTGTAGTGTGTACCTCTGGCAGTCAGCTGGGCAAATTTATATTAGTTAAAAAGGACTGTACAAGTCGGGACAATTGGATGGCGGTGTGAAGGAGCAATGACTATTTATATAGGTGCTCCTTTTCATACAATGGCAAAACTTGGTGGTAAGCGGGGCTGGTGTTATAACGGGAGGGGGGGGGGGGGGTTACAATGAGGTTTGACTGTACACCAAAAAAAAATTTGAAATACCCTGAACCAATATATATAAATAACTTGAGTCACTGCTTTGAAAAGCAAGTCAATGCAGAACACATTTCTCCAGTGAAAAAATCCACAACTTTCAGTTTCAGCGTTAAAATATATGTGGATGCTACACTAAACAAGTAATGACATACCGTAGTAAAAACAAAACAAGGTTTTTTTTTAAAGCTTTATTATTTTTTTCTTTTGTTAAGGCATGAACAAAAAAAGTATGCAAAAACTGTACAATCAAATCCTCCCTAAACTGAGTTATCTATCCATTTTTCTTTCTGTTCTCAATTTCACTGTTACCTGGGGATGAAAAGAAGAAACAATGATTACATTCATTATTCATAGTCATTGCAGCTACAGCCTCATTGATTAAAATTCTTTGACATAATCTGCATACTGTCAATGCAAATGTAAGGTGGAAATCTGCCAACTGCATTAAATTTTAAAGAAAGAAAGATTACCAGCACAGAAAAAAATGTTTCAAGGATTGGTCAATGTCTTTCATTGGACTTTCATGTCTACCTCTACATATACGGTATAATAACACAAAAGACTCAAAATAACGCATCTGTCGAACTGTGCCTGCGGTCCCGTTTTTTCTTCTTCTTTATCTTTGTAAGATACCGGTATCCCTCGAACTACAGATCCCCCGAACTACCAAGGTCAGTCCTGACGAATTCGAGCTATCCATCTTAAGGCTCAATCCCAGTGGATCCAAGCGTTTCTCGTCTGTGGAACTACATTTTATCGGGAGAATTTATTCACTGTGAAAATTTAAAAAGCCCATGGAGTGCGTACGATTCGTTTCCGCAATGTTCCAATGTGTCATCCGTTTACGGGACCAACTAAGTGCAGTGCTTATATTTGATCCGTGATTTGACAAAACCTCCAGGCGGGAGGGATTTTAGGGACTCATTTTTTCCTCAAATCTCAATTTTGAGAAATTAGCGTGAAAATGACAAGTTTTATACCAAACACACACATATAACATTATCTACATTGTATATTTACGCTCGTGTTATAAAGATTTGTTCTTTATTGTCGGGATTTTCCCATCTTGTGTCTCATGCCCTCCTTAGTGTCTAGCCAGACAGGAAGTCAACCAGACAAGCCTGTACATTTTGTTTCATCATTTAAAACTTTGTCCATTAAACGGTGAAATTCACCATAGGTCTCACATCTTTTCTGCCTTCTTCCCCTCATCCAATAAAGGGGCATCAAAGCTATTGCGTCCATAACAATTACAATAACAAAAGAAGTAAGACTCTCAGACACTGTTCTGATCAACTAGATCTACATCTAGGCTAGCCTAGCATGCAAGAATGCCCCAACCCTGACCTACTAGCTACTGTCAACTAGATAACGTAAGCTAAAAATAATAATTTCAAAATTCCTACAGGGGAAAAAAATGGGAGAGAATGAAGCCACTCCGCGTGTGGTCTCATTCCAACTTGGAACCGTTCTGAAAGGGGAAATCTCGTCTAAGAAATGCACGGATCCATGGTGGGCACCCTTAAACTGTATATTCACACACAGACACAACCTTGCTAGGTCTGCTTACATAATATTTTCACGCACAAAAACACTTGTATATATCCTAGCTCCATTATCCAAAAAGAACTCGCAGCTCACAGAGCGGCACTAAGTCATAAGTGCATGACATCTTCATCCCAAGTAATCAAAAGACGGTTGCTCTGAATTTTGTTCACTTGCACAAAGTGATACAACTTAAAATGGACAATCTTGTCCATATTGGCAAATATTTTCGCAAGTGCTCGGCGCTCGCAACCGCAAAAGGTCATATGAGTGTGCGGACCACATTTTTTATCATTGTGCGTTTGGTAAGAAGTTTGAATTTTGACCAGGTGGCGGCCGAAGCTTACTCTTATTTATTGATTTTAGGACCACCAAAGGATCTTTAATATGTGCAACTTGCACACTGAAATTCCGAAATTTTTCACCCTTATCCGAGAAGGCTAGGTATAGATCCAACCTACCATAAGATCAGGAGTGTGGCTGAAAGTAGTGAAAGACAAAAGTAAGGAGCCATGGAGTAGCAGTTGAAAGGCTGCAGAAAGAGTCAGAAGTCTAGAGAAAGGGGAAGGGGGAGGAAAGTGAAGACGAAAGTAGATGGCAGAACATGGTTAGAAAGCAGGAAAGGACGTGAAAGGGGAAAATTTTTAGAGAAGAACATTTTCCATCGCTGTCAGATTTCGAACTAGGGGCCTATTGAATGAGAGGCAAACACATAACCTCTAGACCATGACAGCCCCTAGAGCGGCAAATATAACCCAGGGTTAATTAGCATGAAATCAAATACAGACGTAACAATTTAATAAACTATCACTACAGTACCCAATATCATCTCTCCCTCATATTCAGAACATTGTTATGTTGTGTTAAAATACATGAATGGAGCAACGTAACACAATATTATAAAATTTAGCTCATGTCACTTTTCACACTTATGATTATGAGCATGGACTGTGAAAGAAGAGAGGGGATGATTAATTTTTTACCAATCAAGCTGTTAAAACAAAGGCCAACTTTGCAAAAGATGACAAGATTGTACAAAGAAATAAAGCAAATTTAAAAAATTACTATTGATCTATTGTATATATATATATACATACAAATATATACCATCACTATTTCACCAAATTTCTTAAAATCATTTTAGAACAATGATTCATCATTCTCCACTTTCCCCTTCTGGTGAACATGTTTTCATAACCATTCGCCAGGGCTGGAAGGCTCATTTCAATTTACCTTACCAATTTCATTGTTCAAGCAAACACGAGAAAGAGAATAACCTAGAAAATACACAAAGAGCAACATCCTGTCAAAGTAGAATGTATTACTTCATCAGACTAAATCTACCTCTTGCCCATCAATAGTGTGAAAATCTTGTAAAATGTTCTCTTCAAATCCTTTCTGCCCTGCCATCTGGACAAAGGCTACTCTCTTGTTGAAACCAGTCTTGTAGTCCTGTTGAAAAAGATTAAAGGTAAAATAAAATATTCTTTTTTGACAGAAAATCATCTGTGCCAGTTTAGTTGATGGTTTACAGCACAGCTCCATGAGTAGTCTACTGTAAGTCTCGCCCGATTGACCATGGTCAACCACAATGTAGGTATTCTGTTATTTAAAGTCCTGCTTGATTGGCAATGGCAATTACTGCACTGTGGTCATTTAGATTAAAGGACGCTGCATTTACAATTGCAGCATGTACGTGGCAGGCTGGCTTCATTTTGCAGAGTTGTTCAGATCAAAGAATTTTGTGGTGGTAAAAATTATGATTGACAAGTCGCATCAGCAACTCACCGCCCCCCCCCCCCCCCCCCCCCCCCCGACAAACTACAATCACCAAAACATCTTCATTTTTAATACGGCTAATGACAGCCCAATGCCTTATAAACAAAAATACAGATGTAAAATGTAAACTGATCCTTGTCACAAATTCTAAGCCTGTACAAACTGGTAGACTGTCAAGTAAAACAGCCGTCAGACCGGTCCAGTTAAAGGCTGTCAAGTAGACCAGAAACATCGCGGCAGACTGTCAGCTAAACCGGCCCCAAAACATCTTACATTAAATTTCAGTACTTTTACTATTACAGTTGAACCTGTGTGAAACGGCCACCCATTGCCAAGGAGAAAAGTGGCCGTATAACACAGGTGGCTGTCTTAGGCAGGACTGGTCAAAATGAAGAAAGCAAACCATGCCCTTCTGATGTCCAAACAAGGGCTGGCCTCAGACTCAGGACTGCCGCAGGCCGAATTCAAAAGGGTTTTTGTTTTCTTTAGACAAAAGAGGGTGGAGGGGTATAAGAAGGGTTTTTTGTTGTTGTTTTGTTGGTTTGGTTTTTGGTTAGCTATTTTTTTGCTGCTGATTTAGCACAAGGGTAAAATAAACGCATGTAAGACTATGAAGACAGATTGCCATGGTAAAAAAACAACTGGTTTGCCACCACTCGGAGAACACGTGAGGCTTCTGTAGCAAGTTCACTTGGTCCACTGTTACTTTGTTACAGCGTTATGAACCCTTTCGTTGCCAAGGGGTATGCGTTCCTACTGTTAGCACTGATTTTCAGCTGAGCTCCTTACTAAGGACAGCAGCCTAATGTCTCGGTGTTAATGGACGTGCAGTCTAGACCCAGCGCACTCGTGACATATTTTGGACATCTGGTCTTTGATTGTGTCACTTTTCTTATTCCTCATTTCCTCCCATCTTACTCATTACTTCGAAAAACCTACAAATCTAAGTAAAAAAGTTAATTTATTTGCCTTTTTAAAGTAATTTCGATGTGTATGTTTCACGAGAGCATGCATCTGCCCGCAAACCTAAATCTGTGCTTATCGATCGCTTGCAAGCCTAGCAAATTTGGTACCGATATGCATGTCTTTTATTCCCGAATACGATTCTACGCACGACTTGTGGCTGAAACTCTGTACAGAAGAATTAAAGCCAGGTGATTAGCGCGCCCTGCAAGTAACGTCATACAGGCAAATTTTGCCAACTTCCGTGACGCACTAAAAATTACGCCTTTTCATGACGTACCAGGTTGAAGGATGTCTTCGTAGGCATTGGAAAAAAAATGAACATTTTACATATGAATAGAATTCTCACCATGGGCAGATAAATATCAGCCACAGAACCAAATTTCTGGAAGTAGGTTTTCAGGTCATCTGCAGAAATAAAGAAAAATGGAAAACAGTTTATATATAAATTGAAAGTCATGGACTACAAAGTGGCCTAAATATTGAAACTGTCGACTGCTATTTCGAGGATAAATTACCTGTAAGAAGTACAAGCACAGAAAAAACACAAAAAAGCAAAAAGAATCATTCATTTTTTATTTTCAAGCTTTCTTGTGATAAAAGCTGAAGGTTAGCCTATTACTTCATCACACATGCTGTACAATGTCAGCATTTAAATAAATGTCTCTCTAACCAAGAGGAACTTCGAAGAGAGTGACAGAGACAAACAAAGAGAAAGTGAATGAGAGAGAGAGACAGAGGGGCAGAACGTGAGTGAAAGAGTTGCGGAATGTGAATGAAAGAGAGGGAGAGAGAGAGAGAGAGAGAGAAAGAAAAAGAGACTTTAACAGATGAAGAGATGGAGGGTGGGGGAGGCATGTGGAGTACACATGTCGCCCAGCACTGTTAAGACTTACACTAAAGAGCTTTACTATATGACTTTTCAAGACTTCTGATCTCTCTGCTGTTCGGCTGTCCTGAATCCCCTCCCCCCAGTTTGTACACATGCGAAATATTACAATGAATGTAGCTTAATAAGTGAAGTAATAATAGCAATAACATATAAAATATATAGACCAGGTAATATAGTTCGTATAAACAAATATCTCAGATCTTAGTTTTTACGATCTCATGAAAATTGAAATTTTTGTTAAACTAAAAGAACAAAAGTGCTAGAATCTATCTGAACATGAGACAGAGGTACAGTGGAATCCTGTTTCAGTTCGTGCCGACTTTAAACATGCCGGCATAAAACACTTTTCAGACTCAAGCACGCTGAACGGCTCTTACCGAATTTTTGCTGAATATACATAAATTACACGCCTTTTTAACGGTAGCTTTGGCTTTGGGCACGCTTCATTTACAATACAGTCAATACTTTCATGATCACCCATCGGAGTTCGAACACAGTCTATACCGCAGCAGTGAATGTGTTAAGAGAAACACGAAAAACGCAAGAGATGGACACACACACATACACGCACGCGCAGAGAGGAAGGCAGAGAGATGTACACAGCCGCGTGCGTGAAAATAGGATCTAGCCTAGGGCAAAGCTATACACAGACGAAAAAAATACAAAGAGAGTCTGGGAGACGAGAAAGGGAGGCTGGCTGTGATTTCATCTTTGCCCCTCGATCGCTATCCGATAATCCTGATTATGTATCAAGCGCGAGGTGGGATGAAGGTGGTGGAATGAATGTGGCACAGCGGGCAGTGGTATGCACATTCAGTGTGTAGGCCTAGTATGACAGTATGACTGTATCATGACTGGCCGTCTAAATTAAGTTTTCCTTTCCCATTCGACCACAAAACGAAACAAACAAACAAAAGCTACCATGGCAGGTAAAAATGACAGCGCACACTTTTGCGAGACCACTAGGTCAACTTACAAACAAAGGAAAATTTTCTACATAAAAATCTCTGGATTATGAAAATACAATGTTTACTCTTCTTTGCACTCAAGCACCCCTCTATACTTTCTCCCTCTGACCGTGCTTAAAACCGGCATGGACTGTATAACAAGAGGGAGGGGACTGATGTGAAATGTCCGTTATAGCAGGATTCTCGTGATAAGGGATCCAGTAATAAATTCAAGGGAAATAGAGTAAGGCTAATCTATGAGTTTGAGGTTCTATTTATTTCTTTTTGTTATCTCCTCTGATGATGATTTTCTCTAGGTCAGACAGGTCTTGATCAAAAATCGAATCAGGTTTCTTTCTCTAGCACTAGCAATGTTGACAGCTCGGCATTGGCGATCAGAAAGAAAGGGCTGCTAACTCGTCCCCTGTGTTGTTCCCCACCCCAGCACACCCTGTGGTGCGTTCCGTCTGCTTGCCCACGCCACTCATTCGCTCCATCCATCACAGCATTGTGACCTCTCCATCCCCGCATTGGAGAAGTGAGAGGTACAGTAGTGGTAGGCCTAGATCTAGATATAATCTAGACTAGGCTAGAGGCTGGCCTATCACGCAATGCGTTCAGCTTGTCTTCGCATGCCACACCCTCCCCACTCATTAGCTCTGGCCTTCATCGTTGGCACATGTGGGCTCTCCCATTCTTTGTTTCGCCACAGTTGTTGTAAGGTCCTTGGCTTCGCTAGATCACTAACAAGTATCTCAACTGGCGAGGTTTTATATTATAACTGGCCTAAAGAGATGCGCTGTGCACAGTAGCAGCAACATTCCGCTAAAATGACGTGTGTTTGTCTGATTGCGCAATAACAGTATTTTGTACCAAAAAAAGAAGGAAAAAAACGGGGTTTTAGAATAGTAGTGTTTTTGTAACAGACCTCGTTATTTCAGGGCTTGTTATAAGTGGACTCTACTGTATCATGAATGAGTTGAAAAACTTTTAAAATTAAAATTCTAGATTCTAGATATCTAATCTAGATCTAGATTTCTAGATCTGTTCAACTGTCCCGACACACATGAATTAAGGGCGCTTTTTCGGTAGTTCCCACCCCGCAATTGTTATTCGCTGGTTTTGGCCCCAAGAGTAGGGGGGTTTCAGGCTTGCCCCCCTGACCTAATAAAAATATGGTGGGGGGGGGGGTCATGCCCCCCTGAATTTTATCACAATTTAATGTTGGCTCCTTTAATGTTTTGCAGTTGTTAGGTTGGATATCTTAGCTCGCCACGCATCAAACGTATAGATCTAGATGTAGGTCAGGCTCAAATAAGGGGGTGGGAACTACTGAAAAAGCACCGAATTAAGTACTTTCCATCATTGTCACTGATGATTGGGCCTGTACTCTGTACTGTGAAAATCTTGAAGTGGTATCAATGCAATGATAAAATTATGTCTTCACACTTACTCCGCATACAGCTCCATCCAATATTTAGCACTGCAAGGGTGACCCTTGATTGGGACATCGTGTTCGGAGTTCGGAGGACTCACGACAGAATCTATGATTCTCAATTTCAAATGAAAAGATCAAGCAATGGGGTAAATTGCCAAACAATATTTTTGCAAATAGCGTTATCACTCAGATTAGAGAGAAGGGAAAAACACCGCCAGTAACCGTGTCATTGGCACTGGACTATGCAAATGCACCTAGAATAGAATCTAGACCTTGGCTATGCAATGCAAGTCGAAAGTAGCCTATCTATACCAGAGAGTTTACAGAATACTAAAACCCTCTCTGATCTATACCAAGCCTAAACTAAACCAGTTCAGTTAGCCAGCAGTCAACAACAAGGCACTAGGCACAAGGGCAGCAGCAAGCAAGAGTTGCGTTTCTTGAGAAAGATAAAAATGTAGCCTATGATCAGTTCTTACAGCTCAAATTTACAAGATTGCTTTTATATTCCTCTGTAAACTCCTCTAAAATTATATTTAAGAGTAATTTTTAGCGTAACAGTAAATACATTTGAATACAAGAAAATAAATAAAATCATATTCTTCCCATTTTAACATTGAAAATATATCGTATGGAAAAAAGAGGAAGTATTGTTTTAAATCTGAAAGATCAGGGCAAGTTTTGAAGTAACAACATGGCAGCTTACAGCTGGATATTTCGGAATCAAGCCGTGTAAATCACTGTTTATATTGACGTCAGCAGAAAGAGCGACTTGTGACTAGGAGGATGAATAGGGCTTCAACTGTTTCCAGTGCCCAAATCTGATGACAATTTTAAGGTAAGAATGATACTTTTCACTTCCAGATAAAACAAGAAAAACTAGATCTATTCTAGATCTAGATCTAATCTAGATCTAGATTCTAGATTCTAGATCTAGATATCTAGATTCTAGAATCTAGAGTCTAGATCTAATCTAGGGACCGGGGTTGCATTGATTTTGATTCATTTTTCCAAGTCCAAGGCCAAGGCTAGAATCTTGATCTAGATATCTAGATCTAGATCTAGATTCTAGAAAATCTAGAGATCTAGATCTAGATCTACATCTACATCTACATCTACATCTAGACTCTAACTAGATCTAGATTCTAGATCTAGATTTCTTAAGTCAAGTTACTGTAGGTGTGTAAAAAAAGAAAGTGGCTATTCTCACCCGCCCGGAAGTTCTCGCAAGATCTACTCCTCCCATCTTCTCTCTCTCTCTGTCTCTTTCTGAATACTGTCTATCGGTGTGGACGATCAAATTGACCAAAACAAAGTTAAAAAATGATGTTAAAACACAAAAGTAAATTAATTTGGTTGTCTACAAAGATGATACGGCTATTTAACTTTTCGAATCGAGCCGAACTACGCGGGTCGCCATTTTGTTTTGTTCTCTCTCTCACTCTCTCTCTCCCCTGCCCACAGACAAAATTGTACGCTTTTAGTAGGCTACAAGTACAGTTGTAATGGAACGTTTGTTCACAGCACAGAATTCTACAATTTTTCTGTTATCACAGTGTAGAATTCTGTGGTTTAGGGTGAACGCAAAATTTGTTGACACGCGCACCGGGTGAGAATAGCCACAAGACCCGCCTGCACTATTCTCACCCCGGGTGAGAATAGAGGTGGCCGTAAAAAAAAAGGACCCACTTAAAGACAAGAGTAATAAATCAATAGAATCTACACTAATTTCAACAAAACAGGGAAGGAGTTCCACAGACAGAGGGCCGGCCGACCAACAACACACAAAAGAAGGGATATTTTGAGCCGGTGTTGGATTCACTCGGTACAGTATTTTGGAAGGGTCAAAAGAAATCTAAGAACCCTAACCCTAGCTCTTGTATAGTTTGCTCAGTGGACCTTGTTGCGGTAAGTGCCGGCCCTCTGCGGAACTCCTCCCAAACTTTGAACAAACGAAGTGGCTATGCGTACGGCTCCCGTCGTACGCATAGCCTTGTGGCTATACGTACGGCCCTCTCGTACGCATAGCATCGGGCTATGTGTACGACCCTCCACTTCGCATAATAAGCTACCCTTTGTTGTTAGCGCACATAAACTATCAAACCGGACACTACGTTCTCTGACCGTCTTGGCGCAGGCCCTTTATAAAGGGCATGAGCCGGGCTACCCGAGAAGCACACAGGCCCTATATATAGGGATGACGTACTTCGATTGGGAAGCACGCAGCTGTAAAGGGCATAGATCTAGACACTGACCTTTTTTCAATGGAAAATTTTAGCATTCCTTATGAAAAATGACGTAGTAAATTACAGGTCAAAGTTGTTAATAGTGACCAATGACTTTGCAAGTTATCTTGACCTCGTAGAGCGTCTCTTGGCCAAAGATCGATAACAAAATAATTCACTTAGCCAAAAAGGTGTCCGCGGAAGCCCACACAATGGTTCAGATGATGCTGCAGTCTTTATTTTGAAGCTCTCTTTCGTTTCACCAGAAGAGGAATAGGAATAGCACAGTTTGTTAGTTTCACTTTTATTATATATTTTCACACAAGTAGGGTAACTCTGATCGCAAAGTCCGCACTTTTTTGAGGAGGACGTCACAGAACATGGAGGAAACTTTTTTAATTGGCTCATTTATAGAGGAGTGAACTATCTTGTTATACACGATCTTTGTTTTGCAATCTCTTTTGCTTGGAAGCACAAATTGGACTTTTTATCAGCATGAACTCGGAACGCTATTTTCTGCAAAAATAGTGACTATTTGAAATGAGTAATAAGGTGGATGATTTCTAAGAAGTTGCAAAATTTTGCACTTCTCTCAATTTTGTTTGAAATTGTTAAAGTTTTATATTTTTCAAACATGTTGGTATTTTACATAAAAGCCATATATAACATCCTCATGGTTGAATTTTATTTCTTCAATAGTTTTGTTGAAATCTCACAGATAATGACAAAGTTATTGCTCTTTAAAGGTCCTCGTTGTTTTTAGACACCTGGTTGTAGTACTGTAGGTTAACGTTAAGGCCGATACTGCTAATATTATATAAGGCAAGGATAAATGGCGATTAGAAATTTAGGCATCCTGCTTTCTATACACACAAGGCTATATTATTGTATATATCTAGGCCTAATTGGCTATAATAATACTATGCTATATAGCATGCAGTTTAAGTACTTCTTATTTTTTACCTATAATTAATCCTTAAAATTAGTTCAACTCCAGCTTTATTGGGAGGCTTACCAGCAGAGATTTTTTTACATATGTATGGTACCTCCTTAATTTTTTTGCCCTTATCCGAGAAGGCTAGGTGTTAGATCTCAACTACCCTAAGATTAGGGGTGTGGCTAAAAGACAGTAGTAAGAAGGAGCCAAGTAGTAGCTGTAGAAAGGCAGCAGAAAGAGTCGGGAGCCCATAGGAGTGGCGGGGGGGGGGGGGGGGGGCAGAAAGTGGAAACGAAAGCAGACGACAGAACCTGGTTAGAGAGCAGGAAATGGGGTGAAGGAGAACATTTTTTAGAGAAAAAATTTTTCCATTGTGTCAGGTTTGGAACCCATGACCTATTGAATGAGAGGGAAACACCGTACCTTTAGACCACGAGAGCCCCCAAATTGTGAGTGTGAAATGACAATATATATAATATAGTAACAGAACTACACAAAACAGTGATTGTCTGAAAATGTGGCATTCGAATCATTCTCAAATTCTCCAAATCTGAATAAAATGTTAGAAAGTGGAAATATGCCCCTTGGTCTAAATTAACATATTTGTATGTTGTTGTCTTTAGTTATGTAGTATAGTGTACTGTTCATTAAAATTAATATTTTTGAGTACTTTTTATGCACTTTTGAAGATGCATGCATCTACTAACATGTCATATAGGACAGTGACTTCGTGAGGCTTGATTTAAGAACCTCTAGGCCAGACTGAGTATGATGTTGGAGAGAGGGGTTGGATGTAAGTGATACCAGCTAACCAAAGTTGGATACCAGAGTGATGAAGTGCCTGGTTATGGTTTGTAACTGGGTGCACTAATTAGATCTATGCCTCTGAATGTTGGGTCGTGAAGGCTCATCTGACTGCCACTTAATCTGGAGGTTGCTTTTATGTTTGCCCATACATTCTGATTATTTGATTTACAGTCCAGGTTGGGTTTGGGAAGGGCTCAGTGACAGATGAGAATAGAAAGTGCAAGTTAAACAGTATGAATACCTGAGGAGGTAGGTACCTATGCTCTGTTTTTTACTAGAAATGTGAGGAATTAACATAAGAAATTGAAGGCTTTGTGTTGTCTTTTGATGGCAAATGGTAAGAACATTATGTTGGAAAATGGACCACAGATTTATATTTGTGTTCTTTTATGAACATTTTTCCTTCCCAGGATTCACTTGTTCACTGTACCTACCGATTGATTAGGCTGCAATCAAAGTCAGTGTCCACAGTAGCGTAGTCATTTGAATTAATTTCAACATACGTTTACTTGGAATTAGATATGAGTTTAACTTTTTTTTTTGGTATTAGGAAAACTCAGATTGATAATCTGTAGGTAGACAAATGACAAGACTCTCTTTTCAGCTTCACCTGTTAAAGTCAGTGATGTAAAGAAGTCTAACCATTAAATTAATTGAGCTGAAAGGCCAAATCTGTCTGTCAATTAGTATTTCATGTTACTGAATATCATTAGAGCAGCTTGTATCTCAAACTCTCAGATATTTGTAGAGGTAAGAAAGAAGCGGTCAAGGGAGCCGAAAAACTTGCTGTCTTCCTATTTTTTATTGGGCAGATTACACCCCCCCCCCACCTCTTTTACACACATACCTCGAGTGCCCCCTCCACGCGCGTAACTCCCATTGCCCCCCCCCCCCTTCCCCTCCTTTTCCACATTTTTTTCAAGAAGAATTTCCCACCTGCTTGCAAGGGAGGACACTGGAATAACGAGCGATTTTTCTCTTTTTTGTTCACCAAACAAGATATTTTCTAACATTGGAATAGCGAGCAGCTCCTGAGTATATGGTATTAGTCAATGCCAGCTCAACCGGGCACGTCGCTGGCTAAAGGGGCTCTGGTGAATCAGTGACTGGCCTAGCACGACAATTGTGGATACATTTTCATCATCATCATCAATGCCATCCACCCCTGGCAGGTTATAGGCCACATACGAGCTCCTTCCATTTAACTCTGTCCTGGGCCATCCTTCCAAGCTGGTTCCTAGCGAGCTTCGTCTCTCTCATGTCCCTTTCCACACATCTCCTCCATGTTTCCCATGGTCTACCCCTGCCTCGTGCTCCCACTGTAGCAACTGTCTTGTGATGTTTTGCTACGAAAGAAACAAAGGACAAATTTATATTAACAAAACAAAAAATAAAAAAAACCCAACACCGTCACCTATCAGCTCACACCTAGGCTATCTGAATAACTCAGATAGCCTAGGCTGACACTTATTCTACTTCACCCAAACGTTCCCAAGGACACAAAGAGACAACTAATCACTTCAATATATTAATGTAATACCAACATTAGGCTACCAGTGCGAGACCTGGGCATTAAGTTACACCCATGAAAGCAAACTCAGTTCATGCAAGATAAAATGTCTTCGCAAAACCCTAAACGGTACAAGAAGACAAAAAAGATATAAGAACAGTTATTGTCGCGGAGTCATGCCCCATTACATGAAAAAAACTCGAGAATTAAATGGTTTGGCCACCTGTTACAAATGTCACGTAGAAGCACAGAATCCTGCCAACATTTCATGGGGGGGGGGGGGGGGGGGAGAATAAAATGGCGTGGCCTGCTTATAGTCTTCATCAAAAGTTAAGGACCACACGCAAAAGTGCACACAA